GTCATAGACCAGCTTAAGATAACAAAACTGTAAACCTTACAATCAGTAACTTTATCAATTTAGACCAGTGTTTCTCAACTTTGGGAACTTTAAGATATGTGGACTTCAACTCCCAGAATTCCCTAGCCAACCATGCTAGCTAGGGAATTCTGGAAGTTGAAGTCCACATATCTTAAAGTTGCCACGGTTGAGAAACACTGATCTAGTCTATAAAATATAAAAAATGACTGAAGTATTAGTGTGACTCTCACACAGGTCTCCTATTATTAAATATTAATGCTAAGACTATATAGAAGAAAGAAGATGCAAAGTAAAATATAAAATAATGTGTTAGATTATAAATATAAAATGTGTTATAAATATAAAATACTGTATCAGATAATTAATAGATCTGTAAAATGACACCTAAAACAAAAAGATAGCTATTGCTGGACAAAAGTGAGCTAAATTGTAAAATGTAGAAAATAAATAAAACCTAGCTTTACTAGCACCAAACTATGGACGTGAAATCAGAAGGAGTCTGGTTGCACCTTTTACAACTAACACGTTTTATTAAAAGGCATACCTTTTGTGAGTTGCAGCTTCTGCCTTTTAATAAAATTTGTGAGTCAGAAAAGATGTTACCAGACTAGTGATTTTTTGCTATGAGTGACTAACACAGCTCTCCTCCGACAGTGTCAACTATGAGCCCAATATTTCTACAAACTATTCATTGGAACCAAAATTGTTGCTAAGACTAAAAATATATCAGCTGTGAAGGTTGATAGCAGTGAAGGGTGAAACCCATAACCTTGCCTTCAGCTTGTCCCCAGCCCATGAGTAAAACAGGCTTCAATTATCCTGAGCTGTATAAATAGTACCTTCCTCCTTAATGTGATGCCTTTCAAGAGGTGTCAAACCCTGGAGGAGAATCAGGAGACTGGCCATGCCCAGGACATGCAAAGCGGAAGGACCAGCAAATTTCCCTCAGGAGTGTTTTGAGTCAGCTGAAGGATTTCTGAGACCCTTCAATTCAGACTGTTAATAAGACAAATGAGAACAAGTCCCTGTCCCATGACATGTCAACCCACGTTCAGACCAAGTTGTGGGAATGCTGCAGGCAGGGCTTTGTTCTGGTTCAGGTGCTGAGCAAACCCAGTGTAGTGGGTATAGAGGATGACCTTGAAGGACAGGGGGAAGATCCACTACCAGCGCAACAATGAGATAAACAAGACTTGAGCCCAGGTCAAGGAAGTGGCTTATGACAACACCTCTGAGAGACACTACCCTAATACTCATGAAGATAAAAGAGGAAGGGGAGCACATTCAGACTTGCAAGATTTTGTTACTGTAGCTGTTCTAATAAAAGTAGCTTTAGGCCTACATAGTGTCTGGTCTGCCTTATAGGACTGACACCCAGTCTGTCTCTCCGGGCCTCCGTGCAATAAGAAAACGAGTCTAGACTGGCTTATGGCCTAAAACTGCAATTCTTTAGTCATTTACCTAAGAGTATGCCTCACTGAATTCAGTGGAAAATGAAAAGGAAAGCAAAAAAGCCAAGTCTGGGAGCTTGGCAAGGACCAAGGGCCAGGGAACATGACTGTGCCATATTGTTAGAGGTTGGTGCCATCTTGTTTAACACTGAAACTCTTGTCTTCAGGAACAATGTTTTATTCTCCTCATGGGTCAATACCCCACAAAATCTATATGACCAGCGAACAGAGCAATGAGACCAAAGAAATGGGACTGTCTTCTAAGACAATTATGAAGTATTTAGGGTGTTAAAAAGAGCTATGTCAAACTGGTAGAACAAACTCCTTTTGTTAAGGAGAGAAGAGCAGACTAGATGTTCTGTTGCACTGTATGCTCCTCTACAAGTTAAAATCAGTTTCTTAGGAATAAAGAAAGCACCGGTGTGCTGGTTGGAAAGTCTGGGGACTATAATCCCCCAATATCTGGAAGGCATCAAGGTTAAACTGGCTATTCTATGGATTGGTTTAGGAGCTCCAGTTGGGAAGGATGGCGAACTTTTGTAAAGTAAGCAAGATTGCAAAGGAAGGAAGAAGAGAAAAAGACTTCAGGTTTAGAGCGAAGATGCTTTGTAGTATCTCAAAAACAGGAAACTGGAAGTCCTCTTCCTCATTGT